CTGCTGAACAGCTGCCTGGGGCAACAGGACATTTATTCTAACAGGCTCCTGCCAACACAGAGATCAGTCAGGAAAATGGCAAAACTAGTGGGTGCTCCGTAACTAAAGGGCCACCAAGGAAAGGGGATGGGAGCTGTTTGGGAGCCAAGTGCATGAACCTTGGTGTGATGTGTAAATGAGTCACCTAACAACCTGGCAGGTATACAAGGAAAGTCAACAATGACCACATTCAGCGGCTAAACAGAGAACAGCTGCTGTGCAAAAGAAGTGCTGATGACAGTATCCCACTCATTACGCCCGTCCAGCTCCCTCTCCTCTACAGAAATTATGTCAAATCTCAGTGCTGTAAAATAATCCCTTGGAGCAGCAGAAAGAGAGCCTGCCAGATGACTAACCCAAGCCACCAGTGACCAAACTGACAAGTTCAGAGCTATTTTTATACTCACTCTCTCCTGATTTGCATTAACTCTGTCTCTCCTTGCCCTCCCCTCACCTTCAAGGACCTTCAAGGTCTGCAGCGCAAACCCACCCCCGTCGCCAAAAACTACGTAATTCTACAAGTCACTCCTCAGCTTAGTTAAAAGCCAACGGAGGGAGGGGAGAAGCAAAATTGCAAGTCCTTGTCGCCCTCTGAAATGGAAAAGAATAACAAGGAAACATTACTGAGATTAAAGTCAACAAAGTACATACCTCATTTGCCGAATTAAAAAAAAACAAAGGAGGTAGCTATTGTAAGCAACGTCCTCTAACACAGCAGCCGCCAGTGCTCAGACAGTTTAATGTGTGACTCAGGTCTACAAGGCTGTGTAGGCACAGAAGCTGTGAGCCCAGCCCAGTTTAACTGTTGCCATACAATTTTCAGGTCCTTATAAGAATCAAAACCCCAACTATTTTTACGGTAGGTACAACAAAGCATAGTTGACATAAGTTGAGATTTAAAAGAAAAAATCAGAACTTTAAAATAATTATTGAAGCATAACTTCTCTGGAAGATACGTATTCAGAACCAAACAGGCGAGACTCATCTCTGTGCACTTGGAGGGGGTGGGAACCCAGAGAGGCCCAAAGCATTCGTAAGCCCCATTAATTTGGATGTAGGACTCTGTCTCTCAGGCCCAGGCCCTGTAAGCAGCTCTTCTCAGGGAAGCTCTAGATAACAGGGAGCCTTGGCAGCAGTAAATGGGTATCTAAGGTTCCACGGCAAGACGACTAAGAACAGGATTTACCCACGAGACACGCTGGAGCTGTGGTTTCAGCTGCCTATTTACTTGCCACCGCTCCAGGATGAGCACAGCTTCCTGTACAGACACAAGTTATGTACGTGCAACATGAGGAGCTTCAAGTTATTGAGCTGGAGGGTGGTTGTTTCATACCCCAAACTACTTCTCTGGTTTTCAAAACTTCCTCTCCCTCATCCAAGTCACTTAGATTTAACTGTAATTCTTCATTTCAATATCCCCAACTTTCTTCCTTCTGTAGACGTATGCATTGGCTCATTATTTTCAAGGAAGGAAGGGGAAGTCGGGTAATGATGCAGTTAATAACAGTGAATAGTATACTTCTAACCCACAATGGTTAGAAGTATATAATAGTATATAGTAAAAGTATATATATATAAATGGAATGGGCTTTTGCTAGCTGCATTGAAGACTACTTGCACCTTACCTTCACTAAGGTTTTACACTCACCTCTGGTTAACTAATGTTAGTTCCCACTGCTGTAAAAAAGAAAGTGCGTTTTTACAGAATGAAAGCCAAACACAGTATCACACAGTTGTGCTGTGGGGGCACTGGTCCGACGGCAGCGGCAACCCCTCCCTCAAATAATGTCTGTGGTTCTGTGAGAAACTAATATACAGCATAAGGTCATCTGAGACTTGTAGGGAGTCAGAATTTAAGGACACACTCAAACATTATTAATATGAGACAACCATGTGCTTTCTGCTCCTTTAAAACCTCCTCCCTCCACCCTTCTCTAAACAAGTCCCTGTTCACCCTCTTCAGCTCTTCCATCTCAACTGAAAGCTATTTGTAGCAGGGACCTTAAAAGAACATTTCTGTGTTTCGTGAAGTTACTATGTATATAGAAAGAGAGACTCATAGCTGGAAAAAAGTAATGCAAATATCTCTTCAGCACTAAGACACTCTGCAGCACACCATAACATAGGATCCTGCTTGGTCTGCCTGTGTCAAATCTCCCTTGCCAATGGCTTTTGGGAGAATTTCAGTTAGCGTTTTGTGGAGAAGCCCATAGATTTGGTTAAAAAAGGCTTGGGAAAGAGCTTTAAAATATACATAAGACTTCGTAAGTCAGCTTCAAAGTATACAGATTTCTTCTCCTAGTCTGAGTGCGACTGTTCGGCAGCAGTTTCACATTGACATTTAGTTTGAAGGAAAAAAAAAAAGAAAAAAAATTATGTTGTCTCAGTGAGGTTTCCCACTTCCTTATTGAGAAGAGTTTTATGAACAATGCATTAACTTAGGTTAGCCTTCTCTTTTGCAGCTGCTACTGGCTTATTAAAACAACACAACTAGCCTTTTAGCAATGCTGCTTTGCTGACCACTACAACAAAGCAACAGCTGGGAAAAGCCAGGAATTCATGCATCACTAGAGCAGAGAATGTCAACTGAGAAGAACATCATACACCTTTTGGGGACCTTCCAGTCCTAACAACTGTCAGTAGGAATTCGAGAAAGTGCAATGTCTGCAGCCAGGAGAACCTAGCCAGAGTATTAGCTACAAAATCATCATACAAAGACATCACACTTTGTCAAAAAACACCTTTCACCAAAGAAAAAAAAGAAAAGATGACACTTCTTAAAAAAATGAATTACACTAAAGATCTGGTTTGGGGCCCAAGGAGTAAGTATATATCCACAACCCCTTCAAACCCCAGGCACCGCTCCCCTTGGTCCCTGCCTCCTCGCCATTGTCCTCCTCTGCCTGGATGCTATTGATGCACTTCCTTGCCTGCCCACATTTCAGATGGAACTGAAATTAAGACGGTTCCGTTTTCGGCTGTGTCAGTTTAAGGCATATTATTGTAGCATGGGCCTGGAGTGGTTATTTAAACAACCTCAGTGCTGTCACCAAGGAGAAGTTTCACTTTGTGTCAGAAAGGACTTTAAAAAAATTTTAAAAAATTGTAAGCACTCAACACACACCCCTACCTTAAAACACACTTAATGCCATTTTAAGTTAACATGTTTAAGAGAGAAATAAAAAAAAAAAGACTTCCCTTGCATATCTAAGAGTTCCAAAGTAAAAATAAATAGAATGCCTGACTGATTAAATACTGGTGAGTCAGATCACCAGTTGCTATTCCAGGATGCTCACAGCCTTCACCTCCATTTCTTTAACCAGTGTTACCCATTCGTCTGTACAAGGGGATCCTGAACAATCTTGTCTGGTTCCTCTTGGTCTCTCACGTATTGTCAAGCACTGCTGCACGCAGGTCTACCTGAAGATCACCAGGTAAAGCTGAACCTTCCACCTAAACCACCATGGAACTGCCTGTTTGAAGGATTTCACTATCAGCCTTATGTTCATGAGTAAGTTATGTTACAAATGATAATAA